TGTGTGTGTGTGTGTGTGTGTGTGTGTGTGTGTGTGTGTGTGTGTGTCTTGTATGTGTCTGCTTGCCTGAGTGTGTGTGTGTGTGCCTGTGTGTATGCATGTACATAATCTCTATCTCAGAAATGTTCCCATTTGATGGATGTTCTGAAATATCCTCCAGATAAGAAATGGTGCTCAGGCCTCACTACCAGTCCTTGTCATGCTGAAGGTCCCCAGAGAAAGCATACCAGCACCCCCTCCCCCCACAAACACACACACACACACACACACTTGACTCGTAAGCCTAGGGAAAGTGCCTGCAGTTCTTTGTGATTTTATGGAACCTTGTTGATGAGAGAAAACCATTTCAGAGCATGACCCTCCCTCCAAGCCAGTCTCCAGGAGATCTGTGGACATCTGAGCCTTCAAAGACAAGTGACCGCTGGAATGGCAGTGTTATGACGAGAACTGGCGCCAGGGACCAGCCTTCGTACTTGGTGGACCCTATCAGCAGTTCTCTCAGCTGCTGGAGACCCTGTGGCCCCTCCGCCCTGAAGGAGTTGGAGTGGGAATCTTCAGTCAGGCCTGACCTTGGATTGTGATTGGGCCCTGGGCGATGCCTGCAGGCCCTAAAACCAGATTGGCTGGTTTTCCCTTTCAGCACTGAGTGCTGCCATCCCAGAAGGCCCTGTCCTGAAGTGGCCTGCTCCTTGGTGCTTCCCTGGATCTCTCTTCCCCAACCCTTGACCAGGTTTTTTGTGTAGTCTGGGTTGTCCTGGAACTTGCTCTTAGATCAAGTTAGCTTTGAACTCCGAGAGCCACCTGCCTCTGCCTCCCATGTGCTGGGATTAAAGACATGTACCACCATGTCTGGCCTGGTCTAGTTGATTCATAAATCTTTGCTGATCCTGTGCACTGCAGATGTTTATCAACTTTCCTGGTGCCACATGCCAGGAGCACTCCCTTCTCTACTTGTGACAAACAAAAATGTCCCTAGACACTGCCAAACCTCCTCTGGATGGCAATGTCACCCCTCCTGAGGCCCACATGACTGAAATAAGACAGGTGGCCAGCTGGCTTCTCAGTTGGGGGCCGGTCTCCTTCCTTTGGATGACTTCATAGCTTCATCCTCCTTACACCACCCAGTGGACATTTAAGCAAGGCCCCCACCTGTTGATATACTGGGACTTTGCTCTAGGTGCTACGGTTCCAGCCAGCAGGTGTGGCTTATCAACACCAAGCATTTGGATAGCTCATCACTATACCCATTTTACAGATGTATACAGAGACCTCGGGTGACCTGCTCACCTATTGGACAGCCCCTGAACTCAGGCCCAAGCTCATGAATGCAGAGCGGAGAGTCAGTTCTAACAATCATACTTGAGCTGTCTCCCAATGGTTTTTCTCATCTCCAGAAAGCCAAGCTGTTAAGGGGACTATCACTGCTGCGACAGCGAGCAGGCTGACGTGGTAGAATAAATCACTCCACAAAGCAGATCCCTGTCACGGAGGTATCATCCGTTTAATGACTACAGAGTTGTCTCTGTAAACTCTGTGTCATCATCTGGCTTCCCAAAGTCTTCCGTAGACACAGAGCTGTCCCGTTCAAGCTGCTGCCTCAAAGCCACGTGCTGGCTTTGCCAGAGGAGGCTCAGGGCCAAGCCGGGCCTGGGCACATTTCCCCAGCACACTGTTTTGTTTGTTTTGGTTTGGTTTTTTTTGAGACAGGGTTTCTCTGTGTTAACTTGGCTGTCTTGGACCAGGCTGGCCTCAAACTCACATCCATCTGCCTGCCTCTGCTTCCTTGAGTGCCGGGATAAAAGGCTTGCGCCGCCACACCTGGCTCCCAGCCATGGGGTTTTAATCTCATGAATTTCGCAGCACCAAGGTGGCTATGAACATTTCCCACCCATTATGTCATTTAAACCCTACGCCAGCATATGAGGTGGGCTTTATTGCTATGGCCGTATGGTTTCATGAATTCTGCTAGCCGAGAAGACACTTTTAGGGCAGGTGTTAAATACCTACTGGTTAACTGTCTGTAGACCTTACCTTGTCAGTCAGGCTGCTGTTGCAGGCTGGGTGTGCCAGGAGCAGTCGCACCAGGTCGGCGTTTCCCTGGTGACAGGCCAGCATGAGGGCGGTAGATCCATCATGGTCCTGCAGGTTGACTTCTGCCTGGCAGTTCAGTAGTGCTTGGACCATGTCTTCCCGGTCGTGGCTGACTCCTAACATCAGCGCTGTCTGGCCTCCCTGCACAGAGTGACAGGCACAGGCTGGAGCTGAGCGTGCCGAGTGAAACTTCTCAAGGGTATGGCCATTGATTGAATCTTCCCTCTGCCCTTGACATGGGACACATCCTTTGCTTTCTGACTAACTTCTGTTTTTTCCAGTCAAACGCTATGCCCTTTCTAAAGCTTTTTGTTTTGTTTGTTTTTTGGTTTTTTTTTTTTTTTTTTTTTTGAGACAGGGTTTCTTTGTACAGCCTTGGCTGTCCTGGACCAGGCTGGCCTCGAACTCACAGAGATCCAACTGCCTCTGCCTCTCTCAAGCGCTGGCACTACAGGCGTGCACCACGATGCCCAGCTTGCTTTCTAAAGCCTTGCCTGGCTTCCCAGCAAGGCAGCAGTACACAGCACTTACCGCTTGCTTTCCGATTTCCCTTTACTCTTTGGGGCGAAGAAGTTGACAGCAGGGACTGCTCTGATTTATTTATCTGACTTTAATCTTTGCAGTACAGAGGATTAGCTCCAGGGCCCCACGCATGTTAGACAAGTACACTGCTACTGGACCACCCCCAGGGACTGTTCTGTGTCAGTTTCCCTAAGGCCCAGCACCAAGTGTGTGATGGAAAGCGCTGACTGGCGGAGTGTGGCTGTGGCTTTAGCGCATGCTGCCTTTCTCTGGGACGCCTCAGTCTGCTCATTGCCTCTTGGGTTTTCTTTAAGGATACCTAGAACCCTCTTGTCTCAACAAGACCTCTGTTTGCAGGCCCTGCATTGTTTCTGATCTGTGACCACTGACAGCATGGTTACCCTTTTACAACTGTGATCATCAGTGGACACAGCAATGAGTTAGACTCAGAGAACTAACCCAAGTCCTGTGTCTGCAGCTTAATGAGCGACCACGCCAGGTTCCTGTTTTCCCTGAATCTTGGTTTTTTTTCTTTGCCTGAAAATTAATCTTATATTTTTCTGTGTGCTTTATGTGGCTCTTGTGGGAATCAAGTGAGACAAAGGGTGCAAATACAGTAAAATGAGGTGGTAATTTTTCCGATTGCGAAGTGACATTCATTTCTTATTTGCACATTCTGATTCACACATTCCTGTATTTTCTTATAGCCTTCCCCTATGACTTACTGTATTTTGCCAAATCTTTTTGAGTTTAAAAATCAGGCTTGTCTCTCCACTGGGATATCAGGTTCCCATGACTAAGGCAAGCTCTATGCCTTCTCTCCCTCCAGATCCTCTGTAGCTCTAAACCAGTGGGTTCTCAGCCTTCCTTAGGCTGCAACCCCTTAATACAGGTTCTTATGTTGTGGTGACCCTCCAACCATAAAATTATTTTTGCTGCTACTTCGTAACTGTCATTTTGCTACTGTTACAAATCCTAATGTAAATATCCGTGTTTTCTGATGCTCTTAGGCAACCCCTGTGAAAGGTCTTTTGACGAGTGGAGAATCACTGCTCTGAACAATGTCTTTCATGTCAAAAGCACCGATGATGTGCTGCTGGTGTAGTTTCAGTCACCTTGGCCATCAGAGGGGATTTACAGTCAGAAATTTCCTGGCTCTGCCACGCAGCGCTTGTGTGGATGAGGCGCATTCAGGTTCATCTCTGCATGGTCTCCTAGGTGGGAGGACTAAGATGGTTAGAGGCAGTCCACAGCAGCTGCTCAGTTGGTGAGTGTACGAGTTCCTCGGCGTTCCGAGTCCCCGTTTCTCTGGAACCCAGACAGCTGTCTCCAGAGGTGCCTGTTTGCCTTTGGGCGTGTCACTCAGCCTGGAGGTCATGGCTGCTTACTACATTAACCAGCCCTGAGGTCTCCTCTTCCCAACCACTATTCAAGGTGGGTGACAATGCAGACAGCCTTCTTGTCTGCCGCTCTGCTCGACGCTGGGGCTCTTCCTCCTTCCTTCTGTCTAGTCTGATAAAGCTTAGCTCAGTAGTTGGTCATTTCCAAAGGGGAAATACACCAGGCCCTGCAGTGACCTTGGAGATAGGAAGTTACATCCTTCAGAGACTCCCGGCTCACTCCCGTACTGCTGGGCACAGCCACCTCCCCGCTGAGTCCCAGGGAGCCAAGGAGAGCAGGTGCAGCTTTCCTTTGGTGACCTGGGCAAGACTCTGACCCTGCGAGGACCCGCCGCACCTCTGAAAAGAGGAGGGGCTTTGATCCTGGTGACCATGTCCTTTTCCAATTAAAAAAAGAAAAAAACCAGGCTCATTAGGATAGTACTGTTTAAAATAAAAATACCGTATGCAGTCTTCTGGAATAGGAGTTGTACGCAGGTGAGAATACTTTGAGAGCCAGAAAGCGAGTTACAAATACCTGTGTGCTGTCATCAGTAGGAAGCTATTAGACCACACCAACATGTGGCTTTCACAAATGATGTTTCCTGTGCACGTTATGTGTGTGTACAAGCTGTGTGTGCAGGTGTGCAAAAGTCACGCTCTACAACTCTCCATCTTATTCCTTTGCTGGCAGACAGCAGCCTCGGCCTTCTTCCTGTCTCCGCTCCCCGTAGACCTGGGGTTACAGGCATGGTGCAGACCCATGCTCACCTTTTCAACGTGAGCGTGGGGATCCAAGTCCTCATGCTTGAGCTATAAGTGTTCTAACCACTGAACCACCTCTTGAGTCCCTGAACGCCCTTAGAGGAAGTGTGTAACGTGACTCTGTGGCCATCAGGCTACTCCCTGCAATTTGGGGGAGTCCAGAAAAGAGAAGCCCAACACAAATACTTAACAGTTCTTAGTATTATTGTTTTGTGTGTATGAATGTTTTGCCTGCGCGCATGTCCGTTGCTCAAGGAGGTCTGAAGAGGGCATCAGATCCCCTGGAGCTGGAATTAGAGCTGGTTGTGAACTGCCCTGTGGATGCTGGAAATCAAGCCTGGGTTCTCTGGCATCCGGTGCTCTTATCCAAAGAGCCATATCTCCAGGTGCCAGATGAGCTTTTAAGGTATGCTTACGCCGCAAACATCTTTTGAATAGGCCATGTCTCCTAAGACAGGTCAGGCTTGCTTATTGCCTATTATAAAAGATTCAGCTTCTCCAAATTCAGGGTTTCTTACCTATAATACAACTACTGTGGCTGCTGGCAAGTGTTAAAGGCTTGTTATCTAGTCTGTGCAACCACTGACTGGGAGGTATGGTTGAACCTAAAGAGTAAAGTCTAGTGGGAGGAAGTTAGGTGGCCTTGAAGGGGATACTAGGACTACAGATATATTCATATTTATAGTCTCTCTCTCTTTCTGTCTCTCTCTATGTGTTTGTCTGCATCTCCCTCCCTTTCTCCCTCCACCCTTCTTTACTTTTCCTCTCTCTGCAATGACGTGACAGATTTCTCTACTGTGTGATCCTTCCATACGATCAGTCTCACCACCGGCGAAAAGGCAATGGGACCAAGCAGCCACATACTGATACCTCTAAAACCATGAGTCCAGATAGACCTTTCCTTTGTACAAATTCCTGAGAATGTCCCAGGCCCTCCACATACCAGGCCATCACCCACTGCCGCTAGCTACATCCCTTCATTATAAGTGACTTATTTTGGGTATCACTCATTTTGGATGGAGGATAGGAGGTAAGGAAAGGCAATAGTAGTTTTAGACCTAGTTAGCTTAAGGACCAAAGAGGCACGCTAGGCATATTGCTCAGTTCCAGCAGAGTTCTACAGTAGCACTCTGGGTAAGAAGAGGCCTGGGAGACAGGGAGTCTCAGAGTCCCAGGGAGGGAGTGATTGGTGATAGCTCCTGCCTGCCCTGCTGTCCACACTGCCCCATTGGCCTGATGGAGAGTCACGTCTCTATTCAAAAGGCTTTTGGGGGGGGGGGGGGACTGGAGCCAAGGCTCAGTGACTAAGAGAATGTATTGCTCTAACATGGTATGAATTCAGTTCCTAGCCCTCATATGGGGCAGCTCACAACTGCCTGTAAGTCCAATTGCAGGGGATCTGACACTTCCCAGCCCAATATTCAGAGTTTGTTCCAGGACAGCCAGGACTACACAGAGAAACACTGTCTCAAAATCACAACAACAACAAACATTTCTTTTAAAGTTTTAGGGAGAGAGGTCATGATAGGTGATAGCTCTAAAGCAGTAAGCTTCCTAAATGTCCTGGGTCAAGAAATGGTGAGTCACCAAGCATGGTGGCACGTCCTGCAATTCCAGCACTTGGGGAGGCAGAAGCAGGCAGACCGCTGTGAGTTCAAGGTCAGCCTGGTCTACAGAGCGAGTCCAGGACAGCCAAAGCTACACAGAGAAACCCTGTCTTGAAAAATAAAAACAAACAAACAAACAAACAAACAGACCAGGGGAGTCACTCACAGAGGTGGCTGACTGCAGCAGCCAACCAGCAAAATCCTTCTCAAGAGGCTAACACTGAGAATTTGGTTGTAGAAGTTAAGCCCAGATGGAATTTGCCCTTTTTAGTCTGGAACACAAACCAGATGCCCAGTGACCCCTTTGCCAGCCTGTCTAGGTCCCAAGAACCTTCAAATAAGATAAAGTATCAAGCTTTGGATAGATGCCGTTTGGGGCCCCAGCGTTCCGGACTGGCAAACTTTCCGTAAATCTACATGAACTTCCTCACTCTGCTGGCAGACTGAAACTGGAGGGTGTTAGGTTTGTCAAGAAGCAGAAAGGCCAAGTGCTCTCCACCTACCTGAGTTGCTTGGATGTTCACATTCCCTTCTCGCAAGAGCTTCCAGACAACGGCCATGTCTTCTTTTGTCTCTGCAGAAGCCAAGGGCGTGATCATCACAGCAGTGTAGCCAGCTTTGTTCTGATGATCCACATTGCAGACACCTACAAGGGAAGGCATGGGTGCTGGGACAGCCCAGCTTGGAGCCAGACTGCATCTCGACACTTCGACAGAATGCTGCTTGCTAGCGAAAACACCGTGGAACAGCGTTTCCACAGCAAAGTCACTGGCTAGCATCTCTAGAAGCTTTTAGAACTGGCTAATTCTCTCTACAGGTTTTCTGAGGATTCCCAGGAAGGGATGGCCACAAACAAGCCAGAGACAGACAAGGGGTCAATGACAATGACTTCATTTTGCAAACCTGGGCACAGCACACAGTCTTCCTGGATGAGGACATTGAAAGCCAGAGAGGTCACATTAACTATTCATATGATGGAGGGGGTTCGGCCAGGATTTCGGACTACCCAGCCTCAGAGCTTATCTCTCTTCCAGCCACACAACACTCACAGGTGTGGCCACAGGCTCACTCTTGCTAGCTCATACTATGTGGTGCTCAAGATGATGGTCAAGTTTGTAGGGTCTTCCCAAGGCCTCATAGACCATGTACCAGGGCCATGAAAACAATACAGGACAAAGGGAGGAAAAGCACTTCCAATATGGCGTACTGGAACAATGGAGGATACACCTTTCATGATAGAATGACAAACTAACATATTTTTAAAGACAAACTGGTAAATGAGGACTTAAAAGCATAGCCTCAGGGGTGTGGTTTCATGTCCTCTGCATCAAAGAAAAGGCAGGGTTACTACACATAGATGAGATCTGTGATCCAAATGACCCCATGCTGGGACAGTTTTGACTAGAAACTCAGATCATTTTGGGCTGTTGCCGACTGCAGAAAGCTGGGTGTCTGAGGCAAACTTAAATCCGTCCCAGTAGATCAGGACTGTATCCTCCTCTGCTAAGAGCAAATGACAATGGGTGCTACCCTGTAGGACTGTTATAGAATGTATGACTAAGATAAGGAAATCACTAAGACTAGAGCATAGTGAATCCAGCGACCACTAGCAACCATTGCTATCGGCTTTCAGAATGACACTCTCGCAGACCTAGGTACTGGTTACAACAAATCTGGTTTGTGAAAAGATGTCAGTTAGAGCTACGTGTAAGTTCTGCGAAAAACCTGCTGTTCCTTCATCCCATTCAAAGGATACTTCTGAAATGTGCCAGAGGAACACAGATGCCAACAGACACAGACAACGAGACAACACAGTCTGGCTCATTTGCTATAGTTCTCTCCTCTGAGGCCCCGACCGCTGTCATGATCAGGCAGGGGACAAAAAAAAAGTGTGACAACTCTATTTATCACCACTATGCCCTGATAAAGAAGTGGACACCTTGGGCCAGGTAGGTGGCTCAGTGCGTGAAGGCTCTTGCCATCAGCCTGACAATGGTTCAATCTCTGGGTCCTCCTTAGGGGAAGGAGAGACCCGCCCCTCGCAAGTTGTCCTCTGACTTCTGTGGGTATGCTGTGGCCCTCACGTCTCTACCCCCACAAATAAACCTAATTTAAAAAGAGGGGGACACCTGTGTTGCCTTCTTAATACATGTTAATTGTCACTCCTGACTTTCGTACCGGCGTTAAGAACTGCAAGTGCCTCAGCTTACTGGCTTTCTTGTATCTCTTCAGAAACGTGATTCATAGCACAGTGGTGATGTGGCCCCCTCTCCAGAGCACGGAAGAAGTCGGCTTTTGAGCCCAGTGAGCCAGTCAAACATCCATGGAGGACAGAGGGGAAGGCTAATATTATAGCCTTCTGAACATTTCACCTGAATGACCCACTGGCGACTTGAAACCCTCCCCAAGCTGAATGCTGTGCTGCCCACACCTGGTCTTTTCTGTCTGTTGAATCATGCCCTTGTCAGCCACCCGAGCTGGACAGACCACAGCGCCCTCCTTACACCTCACAGCTAGTTGGTCTTTTTCACCCTTCTGATGTGACCATCTCTACCTACTTCGAACCTGCACCGTTCCTCTGTGGAGCCCTGTGATGCCGTCTGTTCTGCTGCCACCTCCTCAACTGAGGCTAGCTCAGTCCTACCATGAGGTCACACTTCCTGGAGGATTTATTGGCTGTGTGCTTTCTACACAAAACCCAGCTTAGCTTCCCATTACCTTTCAAGCAGCACTCAAATACCATCGGCCAAGCCACCCAAGCCACATGTGTGACTCCTGTTTACCTTCCCAACCCTCAATCACCTACTGTCCAAACCAGGAGCCTTCTGGCTCCAGGTAGCTTTTCATTTCTCATGCTCCACAGTGTTCTCTTCTCCTAGGACATTTCTCAGGCTGCTCCAAGTACCTTTGCTGCTCTCAGAACTGGACTCCTCATTTTACTTCTGCCCTTTTTTTTTTTGAGACAGGGTTTTCTCTGTGTACCCTGGGCTGTCCTGGATTCACTTTGTAGATCAGGCTGGCCTTCAACTCAGAGAGATCTGCCTGCCTCCCCAAGTGCTGGGGCACCCGGCCTCCACTTCTGCATCTTGAAATCACATCTAGATTCCCTCTTCTGAGCCATCATCCCATCCTGCTCAAATTTTTTTAAAATCATTATTTTAATATTTTATACATATAGGTGTTATGCATTTAACATGCATGCCTGTTTCCCGTGGAGGGCAGAAGAGGATGTAAGACTCCCTGGAACTAGACTTACTAGAGTCAGCTGCGAGCCTCTGTGTGGGTGCTGGGAATTGAATCTGGGTCCTCTGGAAATGTGGCCCATTCTCAACTGATGAGCCATCTTTCCAGGCCCCAACTCTGACTTAAGCTCTAAGCTTCTGAGAAACACAGGGCTCACTCCTGGCTCACCCCTGCATCCGTGATTCCTAAGTCATGAGTAATCAACAGATGCGTGATGAGAGATGCATGAGTCAAATTGGTTAACTGGACCCATGCTTTTGCCAAATGGTATTTTATGAGGACAAGAGAAGGTGGCCTTTCCTAAGATATGGTATAGCTCTGGAGCTGAAGAGACCAAATGCAAAATCTGCTCTATAACCTGAGCAAGTTCTGCAACCCCAATCTGCTCTATAACCTGAGCAAGTTCTGCAACCCCAATCTCAATTTGCTCAACGGCAACATGAGAGTGACTGTGCTGCTGATACATGGGGCCGAGAAACATTGGGAAAAATAAACGACAGAGTTAGGAAATGGAGGCTTTCAGCTGCGCAGCTACTAAGATGGAATGGTGCAGAGATCAGTTGGGCCCTGTGCAAGGGAGACTTGCAAACCTGTGAAGATTTCCCCATTAAAAAAACACAACAATCACTTGAGAGGATCTTTGTGATGTGAGTTCGAGGCCAGTCTGATCTCCAAAAAGAATTTCAGGACAGCTAGGGCTGTTACACAGAGAAACCCTGTCTTGAAAAACAACAACGACAACAAAAAACCAACAATAACAAAACCAAAACAACAACAACAAAACCAAAACAATAACAACAACAAAACGTTCCTTTAATTCCAGGACTCACCAGGCAGAGGCTTGTGAATCTCTGTGAATTTGAGGCCAGCCTGGTCTACATAGTGAGTTCCGGTACAGCCTGAGCTACCTAGTGAATGACTATCTCAAAGGTAAACAGCAGGCAGATGGTCTGGCCGTATTCCTGGACTACAGGAGGAACTCAGTATGATGAGAAAGGGCTGTGATAGAAGAAGACACTTTCTATACTCCCTACGTCTCAGAGGCTGAGGCAGGAGGATGATTTGAGTCCAGGAGTTCGTGGCTAGATTGAGCAATCTAAAAAGATTCCATTTTATCAGAACAAGGAGGTGGGCCTTCAAGGAGCGACAGGACGGGGACAGCCATTCCTGACCTGTGTCCAGCAGCAGCTTGGCGATGGCGAAGTTGGAGTGCGACACGCTGTAGTGAAGGGCCGTGTTCCCGCTGCGGTCGGCCAAGTTGACCAGGAGCCTCAGAAGATGTGGGGAGTAAGGCTGGACCTCGAGGAGATAGGCGGCCACCACGGCAGGGCTAGACAACTTCCGGCTGGACACACGGAACCACTCCTGACTGATGGCAGTCAAGCTTTGCCTCTGAAATGCCAGAAGAGTCTGATTACAAGATTTTCCCCGGCCTGGGTACCCTAGTGAAAGCTCCCAGCGCCACTTGGATAGGCCAGTGTCAGGTGCTCCTGCCTCTCTCCTCACGTCCCTGCAGCTGTCTGTATCTGGGGGACCTGAGATGGCAGGACCAAGAATCCTGCTGCAAACCGATGCCTGTGTAAATGACCCAAGCCCCTACCTCCTATCCGTTGGCAGCCACGCACGAAACAGATATCCACTAGAGACATCAGTTCTGTGTGTGACAAGCCCAAATGATAAAGGCCACGTGTTTATAATACGTATCTAAAGGGCAAGAGACGCTATTGAGACGTGGCTATTTTAAATGATTTTACGCTTAGTCTGGAAGGGGCGCCAGGTTTAGCCATTAAATCCACATGGCCAGATGTTAAGTCCTGGCTCAACTGTGTGACCAAACAACCTCATTGAACATTCCTTGTCTCTGTTATGAAATGGGGCTGGCTTTATGGTTTCCATGATTCTATAAGGTGAGGTAATTTTGCTGTCCTTGGTTGGTTGGCTTTTTTGAGATAGGGTTTCTCTATGTAATCCTGGCTGTCCTGGAACTCTCTCTATAGGCCAGGTTGGCCAAAAACTCAAAGAAATCTGCCTGCCTCTGCCTCCCGAGTGCTGGGATTAAAGACATGTGCCACCACCGCACGGCTGGACATGCTTTGTCCCTCGGGCAAGGGTAAAGGTGGCAGAGATGAAGGGGATTCACATCCTAAGGTTTCATTTAATGTGCGGGGTGGTGCCAAGATTGTGTACACATGGGTTTTTGTCACATTTCCAGAGTAGAAAAAGAAAAAAAATTATTTATGGTTGAAACACTTCTATATATCAGAATATCTTTTTTGTTTTGGTTTGTTTTGGTTTTTTGAGATAGTGTTTCTCTGTGCAGCCTTGCCTGTCCTAGACTTGCTCTGTAGACTAGGCTGACCTTGAACTCACAGAGATCTGCCTGCCTCTGCCTCCCCTAGTGCTGGGATCATAGGCATGCATCACTGCATCCAGCCAGAATAACTTCTTTATATAGGGAATCAAGAAAAACTGGAGGACGGCCCTGGTACTATAGGATATAGTGGTAGATTTTAAACAAAGAGCTGAAGCTTGCTTAGCATCCAGTTCCCAACCCTGCTTCAAACCAGGCACAGTGGCAGGCAGAGGCAGCAGGGTCAGAAAGTTCAAGGTCATGCCTGGCTACATAATGAGTTTGAGATCAGGTTGAGCTACAGAGACCTTATCTCAAAATGAATGAGTGAATGAATGAATGAATGAATGAATGAATGAATGAACAGTTTAAACAGAGCTTAGTTATGTAATCTGAGCATCAGGAGTCTCCATCAACATCTATCTCATGTATAGGCTCTTAACAATATATTAGGGTAATTGGGAATTTCAGAAATGCTGTTTGCCAAATTAGCTAAGACAAAAAAAAAAAAAAAAAAAAAAAAATTTTTTTTTTTTTGGATGAGTAGCAAACACTGCTGAATCCATCATTTTAAATTTCTGGGCTGCAATGCTGAGGGATCAAATGGGCTCTAAAAGTTGCTTATATGTTTTTCCACTTTGGGTCTGACAGCTGTCTCCTGGCCCAGAACAGTACCTCTTGTTTAAAAATAGAACATAAGAATTACAGGTTCTAGGGCTGGAGAGATGGCTCAGCAGTTAAGAGCACTGGCTATGCTTCCATAGGTCCTAAGTTCAATTCCAAGCACCTGCATGGTGGCTTACAACCATCTATAGTGAGATCTGGTACCCTCTCCTGGCATGCAGGCATACATGTAGGCAGGGCACTGTATACATAATAAATAAATAAATCTTACAAAAAAAAAAAATAAAGAATTCAGGTTCAAATCCCCATAGGCTAAAAGGGTAGAAAAGATCGAATAAATGTATGTTCTTATTTTTGGTCTCTTGACCCATCAACATATGTGAAGCAAAGCAGTGGCATGGCAGAATTAAACCTGAGGGCTCAAGAGTAATGGAGACAGGCTACCAATCACTGTCATGTATTGACAAGGAAACCAGGCCCTGGGCATTGAATTAACTCCTGGAAGTAAAAGTGTTGTTTCCACTGTACCCATATTTTTGTGAACTACCAGGCATTTGAAGCCCGAGCCACAGAGTCTAGTGGCACACACTTGGATACAACTTCTAAAAATACTTGGTAAAATGCCTCTGAGCCTCTGGCTACTCTCCTTTTTAGAGGCCGGGAGGTTAGAGATAGGGTTTCTCTGTGTAGCCCTGGCTGTTCTGGAACTCATTCAGTAGTCCAGGCTGGCCTCAAACTCACAGAGATCTGCCTGCCTCTGCCTCCGGAGTGCTGGGATTAAAGGCGTGTGCCACCACCACTGGCTTAGCTGGCTTTCTTGTGTGTATTAATCCTATCATTCCCTCAGCCTAGCCCATCTCCTGAAGGGACAGAATTTGGGTAAATCACACACACACACACACACACACACACACACACACACACACACACAC